TGTTTTTCTGAATATCTCTGGTGTGTTTCAGAGTTCATTCGATGTTCTTCCGGATGTTTCTGATGTTTTTTTCTCCTTGTATATTTTCCGACCATTCCTGAAGATCTCGCTCGATCTCTTCGTTTAAAGGAATGTTCCGAAAACTCCAGCGCTTTTTGTTTACCTGATCCTACCACCGCGTGGATCCTGTGTTATCGTTTCATCCTAAATATGACAACTGGTCGTGCTTGCACCGGTTGATCCATCACTCTAGAGTTCCCCAATTGTCGCGCTGTTCCACCAGTGCGTCGTATTCCCCAATATAGTTACTCGTCGCGTCTGTCCCCTGGTTCGTCGTGTCGTCTTCATTCTTGTATTTATCATTCTCACCATACGCATCATATTAAATTCATGGCATTGTCAGCATTATAGTTTGTTTCGTTTTGCCCATAACATTGCATATTACTGCGTCTAAGGGAAAAAATTTCGGTTATCTGTATTTAAATCCTTCCACCGTGATTCCTCGAGTCTCCACTGCTCAAATCATCTTGTGAAGCTATTTAAATAGGGGCAACTCTAATACCCCAAAATTTACCCTTGGATTAGTCGATTCATGTCGCGTTACATTTCATTTTTTGGCATTACATATTAACTAACCACTAACGGGTTGCATAGTCTGTTGTTTTTGCAGGAGAATCACATCTGGTGCACTTTGACTATTGAGGGGCAAAATGGTCATTTGTTCACCGTTTGCTGACAGTTCATGAAGTTGAATCATCGCCATGAATCCATTGAGCAATTAGAGCCTCCCTTTACGAGTTCTTTATTTTTATTTAAGATGAACAAAAGATCACGGTAATTTTTGGCATCGGGGTTTTTGAGATACGTCGTTTGTTTGCTGTTCTTCTGCTATCTGCCAGTCAATTTTAAAGTCAAAGCAGTGGAAATTTTGATTCATGTTCGGGTTTATGATTTATGTTTAATTGTGATTTTAGGACCGAATAAGTGCAGGATATTGAATTTAGTTATCAGAGGAGTGTATTTCTGTCTTTGCCGTTAATTGGATTTTTTTCTTTTCCGTTTCACTTCGTTTAAGGCTTACTGATTCTATCACCAGGCACAATTTAATTTGGGAAAGTATTGAATTGAAATTGAAGGTTATATTAGTTATATGGAACATCACGTGTTAGAATGACAAGGAGGTACTTGATCAAGTTGGGTTTAATCGGATATTTTTTGTGTGGTTTATTCGGTTGCGACAAATTTAAACTACGGAAAAAGGAATCAGAAATGATTTTGGATACAAAATATATTGAATTTTTATTCATAATATTTTTTATTACAAATTACAAAAAGAAATAAAAATACATTTTCCTAAATTCCTATTTTCTGATCTTCATGCTCGACTTCACGACTAATTCTTCGTGCCCGGCTCGACTTTTTTTCTCCGTACCTGCACACAGACAAACAAAAAACAGAGCAAAAAAGAGGTTAATGTTAGAAATTATTTTTGTTGGACACCCTCAGAGTAATTTCATCATCGGGTATCGGGAGGGCGACGACATATGCCGAAGCCAGCTCCCAAATCGATTCCCGACCTCGGCACAAACCGGCAGTATCTGTTCTATTTTTTCGAGACAGCCAGAGGAAGAGGAAAAAGTGTTTTATGCCAAAAAGTGATTTTGCCGAAAAAGAGATTATGGAGTCAAACAGGTCACCAATGGAATCCAGAATCTAAAAATCCATTTTTCTATCAAGTAAATTATTTGGATACCCAAATCGGATCCAGATCCAGTTTCACCATCAGAAATAATCAAGCAAGCAAATCCATAACCAGATCCGAAATTGAATCCATCTGAAACAAATCAAATCAATATCAGACAAAATCTAAATCAAATATCAGAAAACAAATCCAAATCCTGTCAGAAGCATAAACCAAATCGAATCCACCAAATAAGTAACGTAAAAGTGAAATCCAAGCCCAGCTGAGAGATATAAAAAACGTGAAGAAGAAGAGATCAGGGGGGACGAAACCCTAACAGAACGAACTCACCAAAAACGGCGGACGGAAACCCTAACAAACACACAAAGTCGCCGTAAAAACACCTTTAATCCGTCAAACACACCAAACGGCGGACCCAATTCATCAAAATCATCTGCCAAAACCACAAACCGAAATCTGCCGTTAAACCCCACCGTCTCAACAAAATCCGAAGATTCTCGGTTGAGAATCTTCAATGGATCCGTAAACTTTAAGGCTCAGTTAAACAACATCATCGCCGGAGAAGCAACAAACGTGAACGTGGCGGCGTAAATCAAGAGGGGTTTAGATCAACCCGTGGGTCTCTCATCATCACCCTCCCGATGAAAGAGAAGAAGAGAAACGGAATCTCAACGAAACAATCGGTCGCCGCTGTGACTAGACTCAGAAGGAGGAGAGGATTCCCCATCTTCATCACCGTCTAACATCAAAAGTTATCGGAAACCACCGTCGGAAATCGCTAAGAACCCCTCACGAAAGATGAGCAATTTGGGCTTTTAATTTCCTTTTCGTTTCATTTTGAAGGCGACGAAGAAAGAGAGCGGAAATTCGGACATACAAAGCTTCAGGGAGCGACAATGGCGGGTTGCCATTTGAGCAAGGAAAGAAGAAATTCAGCGTTAGAACCACAAGAGCGAAGAAGAGAGTAGTGCCGCGGCGGAAAAAAAATAGGGTTTCTGAACCCTAGAGTTTTATTTCCGTCTTTTATATGATGGCCACCGGGTCGGGTTTGGGAATTGGTGACCCAGCCCGACCCGTTTATTTTCTATTGTATTTTCTTTTTTTTTATTTGATGTTTGTTTTGGTTTATTTTATTAACAATAAATTTACAACTAATTTTTATTTTTTAATTTTACAACTAATTGAATCGACTTTTCTTGCCATAAAAATTTAATAGATAATTTAATTTAGGGATTAACTTTTCTTTAATCTAACCCTTTTTAAAAAATATAACTATAACTCCTCTTTTATTAGAAAACCATTTTTTTTTGAAATTTAAAACTAAAACATTTTTTTTTTGAAATTTAAAACTAAATTTTTTTTTTAAATTAAGACTAAAATCCTTTTTCAAAATTAAAACTAAAATCCTTTTTTTAAAGAAAAATAAAAATAGTCCAACCCTCCTTTTTAAATTCCAACATTTTTATGGCATGAATCTCAAACCTTTTTTTCTCAAAAAAACCGCACGAAATCCTATCCTGGTTAATCTCGATTTCTGTCTGATTTTCATTCTTAACATCGTTCTCAATTATAAATGAAATTGTTACTAACCTTTTCTTCGTATTTTTATTTGTACATACTCTAACATTACAATTATTATTATTATCTGCATCTTATTTTCTTGTACATTATCACCATCTTCATTTGCTTATTAGTTGTCACTGTTTTACCGTATTTCCCTCCGAAGGAAAGGTCTAACCATTTAACCACCGCGTCAGTAATCCTTAACCCTTATATCTTTCATCTTTCAAACCATAAAACTTTGAGTCCCCGTACTCATACTTTTAGGCGTCCCGCCGCAGACAATTTTACCCCTTTACCCTAGCATTAGGTCAAAGAGTCCCCACACTCTGTTTTAGGGTTTCCTGTCGCGGAATCCCTAATTTAACCCTAATTTTAATTAACAATTTCAACATAGAGATTGGAGTCTCTGCCCTCCACGTAAGTGTGTCCTTAAGATACGTTTACTTCCCCATTGAAACCTTGACCACAGTCAAGAAGTTTCTAGCCTCCCTTTCGAGGGGAACTATGATTACTCTGATTCCATTCCCTACCCGGATATGTAGGCACAAGATGTGAATCTTGCCGAGTAAACTTAGGACTAACTCTTAGGTCTTTCTTTTATTTCTAACCCTTAACAGTATATATTTTCAAGCAAATAATCAAGTAAAATAGTAAGAAAATAAACGAAAAGGTTTCTGTAGAGTACTACAGAAGTTTAGGGTGCTAATACCTTCCTTAAGCTTAACCAACCCCTTACCTAGATTCTCTTCCCGCATTGTGTTTACGATGCAAAAAATAGGTTTTTCCTCTTTTGACCTTTTCCTTCGGATAAATCAAAGAGCGGTTGTGATATGAATTGTGATTCAAACTAATTAATAGTTTGATATCCTATTTCTATCGCAACAGTAAGTTAGGAGTTGGTTGTGTATTGTTAGCCCCTAAGGAGCACACCTTGTATGGCTAACACAAAGACCCCACTTATAGTAGATCTTCTTTGTTGAGTTCTTCATAAAGTGGTTAGCTTATTGCATGACAGAACTCATATTAAGATCAATAACTCTAAGGACCTTTTAAAACACATTCCATATTTGGTTGTTGTATAGTGTTGACCTGCGAGACATCTGACTCGTTGGGTTGATTTGAGAACCCCACTTAGATGATATCCCTTGGGAGTATTACTGTCTTATGATTAGTCGTTCTGGCGATAATATTTCCAACTTCGATCCATGATTCTGAGGACCTTTTATAAACCATTTCATCTATGGTGGTTATGTAGTATTGATCCTTAAGGAGCACACCTTATATGATCAATGAAAAGACCCCGCCTAGAGTAGATATTTTTCACGAATTTGTCATAAATTGGTTCACCCCTTGTATGGTGAAATTATGATTAAGTTATGTGACTCTAGAAACCCTTTTGTCCAAACTCGTAGAACTAACCTGGTAAGTCGGTTTCATGGGTACATAAAACTTAGAACTATCCTGATATAAGAGGCCTGCCTAATTAGGTTGTTCTATTGTTACCAGTGTTACCCCATATCGTTACCTACACACGACATTTCATTACATCCATACGTGACATGGCATTGCATTTTTTTCATATCAAAAACAAAATTACGCATCCACATGCATCAAATATCCATCATGCATTTTATTCCTCAAACAAAAACACTCATTTTTATCTCCCTTCGTCTCTAGATAAATCCAGTTGAGTCCTCAACGTAAGTACGCTACCCAATCTAATACAAAGAGAGTAATGGATCAAGCTCAACAAGAACAAGCTTCCTTAAGAGAGGACATTGACTCTGTCAAAATCAAGATCGAGCATATTTTAGAGACGATGCAAGCTCTATCCAGAAGGGAAGAAGATATCCATGCTGCCACTACTGCGAGGAATGATGCCCCTGTTCAAAGGGTTGTTTCACCTTTACGACTTTCAGGTCTTATTCCTAATCGTATGGTCTATGGTTTTCCTCATGGTTTCACTCCTCCGCCTGAGGCAACTCATGTGCCTCATCTAATACATATCTCTAGAGTCACCGATGGTGTTACTCTACAAGGGCCACCTATTGTCAATCAAATCCTCACTCCTCGCACTGATGAGGAGGTCCAAGATGAGTACGAGATGCATAACTATCTAAGGGTAGCTCGAATGGTCAATCCTGCTGCTGCTCAGGCTTTTAAAGCCATCCAAATGTGCCATGCCTTAGCAGAGAAAATAAGGGTCTTAGAAGGACATAACTCAAGTGGTTTAGGTGCTCTAGAAATGTGTCTGGTGCCTAATGTGGTCATGCCTCCTAAATTTAAGGCGCCATAATTTGAGAAGTACAAAGGTCTCAATTATCCAAATATCCATTTGAAGATGTATTATAGAAAGATGGTCGCATATGATAGAGACAACAAGCTCATGATTCATTGTTTTCAGGATAGCCTGATTAAACTGTCTCTTAAATGGTACATGCAATTGGAGCGCAACAAAATAAGTACATGGGCTGAGCTGGATGATGCGTTCACAAAATAGTATAGGTACAACACTAACATGAATCCAAATCATACTAAACTCCAGAATATGCCCCAGAAAGGAAGTGAATCCTTTAAAGAATATGGGCAACATTGGAGGGAACTGGCTCTAAGAGTGCATCCACCTCTAGTGGACCGTGAATTAATTGATATATTTATGGGTACTTTGTAGGGCTAGTGTTATGAAAGATTGTTCAGTAGTGTGTCTGCAGGTTTCTCTGACATGGTGATTGTCATACCCTAGATTTTACCACTAAATCCCCACCTTCATTTGCATCATTTTCATAGCATCAATCATTTCTTATGTGTGTCTCTTATGCATTTCTAATCCCATGAAAATGCAAAGATATGCTATGCTTGCTTTGTTTCCAAGTTAGGTTTTTGCATCAAAGAGTTCAAGAGGTTGATCATTCAGGGTTTAGTGGGATCCTTAACATCTCAATCTCTTAAACTCATGCATAGTAATCAAAATATTCCCTCCATCAATAATCAAGTTTAAGTTTGCATCAATTCAAGTTCATCAAATCCCAATTCATCATGTGCTCCAAATTAGGGATTTGGTCAAAGTTAACTTGAAGTTGACTTTTTGACCAAAACATGATCCCATGGCTTGGATTATGATTCAAAGGTTTAAAATTCATCATTGTGGTCTGTTCATGTGATTAGATTGTCTTAAGAAGTTAGATATTTGAAGAATTTTGATTCAATTGAGGAAAAGTCAACAAATGCTCAAAGTCAAAGTTTGACTTTTGACATATTTGGTCAAACATGGACTTCTCAAATCAAGAATCATGAAAATATGAAATATAATTGAGTTTAATCAAGCTAAATCAAGAAAATCAAGGAAATATCAAGAATTGTCAAAATTAGGATTTTTTGAAATTTCACTAAGTACAAAAATTCATGATCAAGTGACCAACTTTCCAAGGTTGTAACTTCCTCCTCATGCATTCACTTGAAACACTTGAAGGTTTCAATTAAAGATGGAATTTGATACTACAATTTGATGAAAATTTTAAGTCAAAAGATTTCTTGAAGTGGAAGAAATTGATGTTGAAAGTTAAGGTTTCAAGTTGTTGCAAAATTCAAAACACTTCGAAATTTTTCTGTTTTTGACCTTTTCAAGTGCATGACTTTATGGCCAATTTGTGAGTAATCTAACAATCCATTTGAAACACTTGAGGGCTGCATTTAAAGAGCATACTTCTTACTTCATCATGGTGGAAATCTTGCTCCAAAAAGCTCTTGCTAATTGAGAGATATGAGGGCTCAAAGTTAGGCTTTCACATTATGGAGAAATGCAAGATTGGCCAGATTTTTCTATCTGTTGAAAATCAGTTTGATTCACACGAGTTTGAGGCTACTTTTGGACACTTTCCAAACTTTTCTTCAACTTATCGTGAACACAAAACTTGTTCCTTTACAAGTTATTTTTACAATGATACCATTTTGGTGCAAATTTGACCTATGCAAATAAGGACAAAATCTGTCCATGATATCCATGCTGACCTAGATTTTTGGCATTATATGAAAGTTTACTTTTGGTCAAAACTTGCTAAGCAAGTAGTATCTTTGATCCCAACTGGTCTATGATGTCAAAAGCAACTTGTCCAAGCCTAAAGTGAATGCTCAAAATGTCATACAAGTCAAAACCCAAGCCTTGGTATATGGTAACTCACTTGGCCATTTTGGTGAAATTGATCATACATGCCAAATGCCAAGCCTTAGCTCTGATTAAACCTCTATCCTAACCTAATTTCAAATTGTCGCAGTGAGAATCAGATACCAAATCTATAGGATCAGCTTAGCTCGCAAAACAATGATATCTTCACCGAAATTTTATTTTATCCAAGGGAAGGGAGAAAAGTTCAAACAAAAACCCTAAGTAAAAATGCAAAGAAAAAAAGCAAGGCCTAAAGCTAAAAAAAAGAGAGATCAAAGGTACGAGGGTTGGTTATACTAAGGGAAGGTACTAGCACCCTAAGCATTTGTAGTACTCTACAGAAACCTCTTGAAATATTTGTGTTTTGGCTAAAATTGTTTGCTAAAGGGTAAAGATGGATAAAGAAAAGAGAAAAAGTTAGCTTGCTAGGAACTCCCAATCATATGCCTACGTATCCTTAACAGGAAGTCAAAGCAATCGTAGTTTGTAGACTACATGTAAAAAAAGGAAAGGGTGTAAAAAAAGAAAAAGAGTGTTTGCCAAGGATTGAGACCTTGTGCCTACATATTCTCAAAAGAAACTTGAGAAATCAGAACATCTGTAGTTCATAGAACTACGGGTTGTTATGATTTTAAGAACCAAAATAACAACAAAGAGAAACATACAAGGGACATGCACAATGACAATAAGTCAACATACAATCCATCCCCTTGGATTAGGTGACAAGGATCAATATAAAGCAGCAGAAACATGGAAGAACATCATGTAAATGGCATCAAATAAAGACACAGACATGGTACATGGCAAGAACATCATGTATGGTAAAACATACATGAATCACAGAATACGCATGGCAAAACATCATGGTAATCAGACAATGAAAAGTCAACAAAGATACATGGAAAAACATCATGGTATCAACAAACAAGGATACGCGACAAAGTATCGCGAATAAAATCCACACACAATCACGATAACACATCATGGTAAAACAGAGAGAAAATACATGGCAAAGCATTCTATAATCATCACCAATTAATCAAGGTAAAACATCAAGAATTAATCGAGGAGCAAACCCAAAACATGGAAGCATACAAGTAATAAAAGTAGAATCAGGCAACAAAAGAATTATTAATTAATCTAAATATAAATATTTAAGTTAATTAATAACGAAACATTTTTTTTTACATTTTTCCAAATATTTATCAAATAATAATTAAGCTAGAAAAAAATAAATATAAAAATACTAAAAATAAAAGTTTAAAAATTTTGGTATTTTCTAAATGTTACAAATTAAATAATAAAATTAGAAAATAAAAAAAATGGAATGATAACAATGGTTTTTTCTGGTTTTTTAATAAATGTCATATAAATTAAGAGAAAAATGAAAATGATAAAAAAAAGATGACAAACACTAACTTCAGCACTTCAGTATCCGAAAACTAAAAAGAAATCAAAACTCGGATAGAACTTGAACAAATCAACGCTTTGGTATCACAGTGAAGGAAGAATGGGAAAACAGACCTGGACTTTCGAACTGGAAAGGACGTGGCTGCGGGTTGGATGCGTGCGTCGTCGTCAGCAGAATGGCATTGTGGTTTGGTAATGGTTTGGACAGGGTGATGAAGATGTTGATGAGATGACGTATCATTCACAGATTCTGGAGTGAATACATAATTGAGGGAAAATAGCTCTTTGGAGTTCACTTTGTGGTTGGTATCTCTGGCGAAAATGGTATTCCCAAGTGCTCGGTGGAAGTACCGTATGGCGGGGTTATGAATGAAGGTTGCGTTGAGACTATCCCATCCAACAGCGTTGGTACCGGTTAATTGATTCCATAAGGTGAAAGCAGCTTGAAAGAATTGGTCTGAAGGGACTCGGCGGTGGGCATTATCGCCATGGTGGAAATTCAACATTCGAGCAATTTGGTTTTGATTCAACTGATACTCCGTGCCAAATATTATAAATGTTGCTACTCCTGTCAATTGATTTGTGTCTCCTGGCGGTGTGATGTAGGAGAAGGAACTCAGAAATTCCAATGTCAGCGCTTCGTACGTGGGTTGTGGCGTTGTATAGAGCTGCCATAGGCCTGCGTTTTGCAGAATCCAAGTGACTCCGTCGCGAATACCCAAATCTGTTAGACAGGCAACGTCGACGTACCGAGTGGGTTGGATGGAGCATTGATGGAAAGTGATGTAGTTCGTTCATTGTTGGTCGCCGCGGTCGCCATCTCTGAAGGTTATTGTTGAAAGGTCTGGGAGTTGGCCATTTTGGCGTGCCATTGTACATGCAATAAGGAGAACTGAGATGAAAGGGATGCTTTTGTAGAAGGGTTGAAAGAGAAATGGGCGTAATTTATAGGAGTGATGGGTAGTTGAATGGGTGGAGGGAGTTATGGAGGGATTTGGATGAAATGAATGAGGGTGTCGTGGGCGGTTTTTGAATTTAGTGGGAGAGGGAGAAGAAACAGTTCCATTCTGCTGATATAGCAGAAGCGTAGGTTTTAACTGCGTGATGGTCATCATAAAGGCGACACGGTCGTAAGACGCGTGACGGTTGTAACAGGGAGGTGACGAGTGTCACAGCAGCAATTTCTGTCTGTTACAGAAAACTGCTGATGGGTTCGTGTAAGAGTTCTTGAAACTAGATAAATTCATTTCAGGCCAGAATGATAAACAAAATAAAAATTACAAGATAGGAAGAAAAAATTGGATTAATAGCAAAATGTGAAAAACATCAATTAATGGAAAATACTGTGATTGTTTAACAAAATACAAGAATGGAAAAAGTTCAAAAATAAAACACATAAGATAGAATGCTGTAAAATTGTTCAAAGGCAGTAAAAATTAAAATAGAAGTATTAGTCCTTCTGCTTCTTCAGGTTATCAAATGCTTGAGTTATGTGGCTGAATTGCTCGACTGCGACGTCTATGAAGTTTATCATATACAGGTGCAAGGTCTTCAATTCTTCCTTCACGTCTGTTATTTCCAACTTGAACTCGTCCATGGTCTTCAAGATAGTATTCAGCTTTTCAGTGTTCTGGTTAGGGTCGATTTCAGAGAAGTCATGGTAGTTCGGAGGGGTCTCAGGGTCGGTTTCTGCTTCAGATACATAATCCTCATAATACATATAA